TTTTGAGACAGGGTCTCTCTCTGTTGCCCAGGCTGGAATACAGTGGTGTCATCATAGCTCACAGCAACCTCAAACTCCTGGCTTCAAGCGATTCTCCCTCCTCGGACTCCTACTTCTTTTAAAAGGAGTCTATCCCCCTGTCCTCACCACCCTCTGCAAAATAACAACAATAATAATAAATTTTAAAAAGGAGTCTAGAAATGTGTGTGTGATTGAGAACCTTACCTGCAGATGAGAAGGGATGCTGATCAGGGTCCAAGTACAGTTGGGAAAAGATGGGCCGTGGTACCACACTACTACATCTGAGAGAGGCTTCTATGGAGTTGTGGAGAGCTTCCTCAAATCGAGCAGATTTCAGTTGCCCAGCATATGAATTCCCCATGGTCTACATCCACCCACCCCAAAGAAAAAGAAGAAGAAAGGAGAAAATTGATATAATTAGAGGTTGTATGTCTCAAAATACACACAGAGCTAATATAAACTATATCCATATATCTGAAGATGTGAACTATATAAACTACCTATACATCTTGTTAAGATAACTTGTGAAGTTGTTATCATATCACTTCTGCTTTACAGTTCAAACCCATCTCGAAAAGCCCCTTTAAAGGATCTTGTATCTAAGAATCAAATAGTAATAAATGCTTTAAGCTGAGGCTCTCCAACCAGTAAATCAAGACTGACCTGTCAATTGCGAAGCCCAGCCTGGTTAAAAATGGAGCCATGCCACCTCCTTAAAATTGGTGGGCAACCATAACCCCATACCAACTCCATCACTGGTTTCAGAGTAACTATCTAATTACTTCTCTCTTTACTAAGATCTATTACTCTAGAATAAAAAAAAAAAGGCCCTCCTCTGGAAAAAAAATGAAAGCTTTACGATAATATATTTAATTAACGAATTCCTGAAAGGATTTGAGCCTTCTTAAACTCAAAGAACTCATTTATGTATTATTAGCATTTATTTGAAAAACATTATTGTTTCTTTTGCCTCATCTAAAGTACAATCTTCTTTGGGACCTTTCAGGAAAGCATATAGTAAAAAGTTTTGAAGCCATGACCTTTACTTCTCATCACTAGTATTTATTAATATATAGTACTTTGGCCGGGCGCGGTGGCTCACGCCTGTGATCCTAGCTCTCTGGAAGGCCGAGGTGGGCGGATTGTTTGAGCTCAGGAGTT